GAAAAATGTCCGGGATTTCCCTTGTAAGACATGGGAAATGCAATTGCAAATACAATTTGCAATTCCTTTTGAAAAATGTCCGGGATTTCCCTTGTAAGACATGGGAAATGCAATTGCAAATACAATTTGCAATTCCTTTTGAAAAATGTCCGGGATTTCCCTCCATAAAAGGAAGCAGTGTGTTGAGGTGTGCCTTTAAATACATCCACAGGTGTGCCTCCAATCAACTCAAGTGGTGTCAGTTAACCTATTAGATGCTTCCAAAGCCATGACATCATCATCTGGGCTTTCCCAAATAGTTTAAAGGCATAGTAACCATAGTGTATGTAAACTTTTGACTTTGAAGAAAGTAATAAAAAAATCTCTAAAAAATTCTCTCACACATTATTTTGACATTTAGCAAATAGAAATTATTTTGGGAATCCGAACGGGCCTAAAACTGAAAGGGTTTTGTATGATTTAATATCAGACAGTAAGAAAAAAAAAGTTATGTCTTTTTATACAGTGTATGTAAACTTTTGGTTTCAACTGTACATACACACAAATATACACATATATATATATATATAGATACACACACACACACATATATACATATACAGGGATTATATATACCGATTATATGGTCACTGCAGTGATGTGTTGTAAAGTCTAATAGCTGTGGGGAGGAATGATCGACGGAAGCGCTCCTTCTTGCACTGTGGGGTGTAACAGTCTTGTGCTGTTACAGGTGTATCTGAAAACTGCTACATATGCTTCATTTCCAGCAACATGGAGCTGGTGCTGGGCTGGAACTTGTTCTGTGCCTTTTGAGAACCAGCCCACATTTCCACCAGTTTCAAAAATGAACACAGATGGAAGTGAGAGTAAAGTATATGTATTCAATTTTGTCGGATTAATTTTGATCCATTTCAGATTTTAAGTTTATATAAGCTGCCAAACCGAAATTTTCAAAATATGATTTGTTGTGTTCTCTCTCTACTGCCTGTATCCACGTTTGCCTCCTTAAAGGCCCCCCATCTGTGTGTGAAAGTAAGTTTATTCTTTCTCATCGTGCTTTTAAGGATCACACAATAAAAGATTACATTTATTTGACCTGTGACGTGGTTTTAATGTACAATGAAAAGTTATTTTGCTAATAAACTGGCTAGTTGTTTCACTTGTGGCACCAACAATATTAGACAAAACTATCAGTTATAGACTGAATTTTCCAGGTATGCGGAAGGTTTGGACGCGATAGCCCGTCCCACTTTCACTGACGTTGAGAGAACTATTTATTTATTTGTTTTGTGGAGGTACGGAAATCTTTTAATAAATTAACAAAATATTCTGTATCTTATAACTGTTAGCTTATAAATGCTACTTGATGAACTGTTCTATAAAAGCAACAACATACGAGAAGGAGTGTGGTTGTACTCCAATATATCACTGTGATTATCTTCGGCACTCTGCCGGCAGTCTCGTACCTACTGTACAACTAAAGCACAGCCATGATTTATTGGAGTACAACTGCACTCCTTCCCGTATGTTATTGCTTAATTATATGCAATAATTAATAAAGTAATTGAATTATTTTTTTAATTAAGTAGTAAATGTAATTACTCATTTTCAGTAACTTACAAAACACTAGGAATTTTGTGCCTCTTTTTATTATGTGTTGTGATTATATAATTACATTGTCATTTGCTGTTGAGTACTGTGCATGTATTACAGTACTTAATGTCTTGCCCATCACCTATAACTATCCGGATGCACTCATATTGACTTATGTGCAGTGGTCCAGGCTCCAAATGCGGACGCAAGTCAACAAACACCTGTACTTGCTTGAATATTAGAAAACTTGTGTAGACTAAGTACTGACAAACTACAGTTTATAACAAAAGACCACAGAATATTATTATTTTTCCCCCAGACTTTAATTTTGCATTGTGTAGCTACAATCCGTGTGACATTTGCGTCAATTCATGGATCAATGACTTACAAGTGTGTTGACCTTAAGCAGAGCCACAATGGTGAAAATCAAAAATCTGTAATCTAACACTGCTATCTCTTTGTCCAGTGGTCACTGCCTATAGAAGCCCCTGAGGAGGTACCTGGCAATGCAGACTGAAGGCTAGATTCAGGGCTGGCAGCTGATGGATATTTCAGATGTGCAAAGCCCTGCCAACTATTAACACTACCCAATGCAACTTATACTTCCATTCCAGAACACCTAATCCGGTGTTGTAAAACTCGTGAGAACTCTTGTGTTTTTAAACTGTTATGTGTGTTTTTAAACTATATAAGGTACTTTAGCATAACATCTGACATGCTACTAAACACACATACATCATCTAGAATGAAACACCATGAACTGGTTGAAACAGCAGGTCATTTGCCTGGATTAGGGAATTCTGGAGGGTTCTCTTATTCTGCTCTGTCAACCATGGAGTAGAAACAAATTCATCACTGGCTGGGTAAAAATAAGGATGGATGAATTTCAGCAGTGCATCTAGTCGTTATGTAGACACACCACTAGAGTTAAGAGGGTAATATCCCAACAGTCATAACTAAAGCCTGTACTGCATTTTGCTCACTAGATGATCCATGAACATGACACACCACACCTATTGTCACAGAAAGCCAGCTGCAAGACCAGGAAATGTACACACGCTGTGTTAAGGTATCAAGCTAAATCATGACAGACACATACATGGGCCTCAGGATTTCTGACCAACCTCCCTCAAATCCTGGATGACTGCTGCCATACGTTCATTCTCAGCTTGGGTACTGATGAGTACACTCTGTAGCTGCCTCAGCTCCACCTGGAGGTCCAGCTGGCGTTGATCAAATAATGCCTGTCTTGAGGCAGTCTCTTGCAGCAGCAATTCCTCGCGGCTTTCTCCATCCGCTGTCACCTTCCTGTGGTTGGAATGAGCGTGTCCGAAAGCCTGTGCAACAATTACACCAAAGCTATCCTAAGACATCATAACATGGCATAGCAACAGTTAGCCTGACAAGATCATTGATGGCACAACCTTCATCTTAGCTGGGACAAGACAGCATGTTAAGTTAGCAGGCACAGGTATCACGGTTATTTGTTTAGCAGGAACAGGTTTTGCTACAGAACTCCTCAAACTTGATTCTGACCTCAAGAATAATTATGATTATGTAGTTAAGATATTGCTCAAATCACAGAAAAACCAGATTTTACTTGAGGATCTCAGTCATGCGCACCATGTTGTGAGGCTTAAGGTTTGCCACAAGTGTGGGATCAGAACTTGTGACAACAATAGGGTTTTATTGTAATAAAAACAGAACATAAAATCATTATGGCTGCATAGTATTATTGTTGATATAATAAGCACATAGTTGACCTAAAATATTTGGTAGTAGTGATTATACCACGGTTTTGGCAAATACTATTTTCTTATTGGTTCAGAGATGTCACGTGGGTGTTGATTATTTTTTTGTAACTCCACAGGTAATTCCAGTAGCCTAATAACAGTTTTATATTAATGTGTTTTACTGACAAATACATGGTCATTCTTATCAGGAATTTTCCTTTGTTTTCAGAATACAAGTGTCTGTCTGTTGATGGGCCTTATGGTAACTTAAGGGACTTGCCACTCGCAGTGACTAGCTTGACCAGATGTTCTATCATTACAAGGACTAGGCCTATATTTTTAAGAGCACATTGAGACATTGTCAAACTGAAATAATTGCTTGTTAACTGAGGTTTAAGCAGGATAAACCACTTCAAGGTGTGCGTTTGTATGAAAATAGCCAACTCTGTGTAATGCATCAGGCCAGGATGTTGATTTTCATAAAACCGCACACCTCGTCATGATATACCCCTTACATCCATCCATCCATTATCGTGACCACTCAATCTCCACTGGGGTAACGGGGGGCCCGGAGCCCATCCCGGGATACCCCTTACATATCACACTAAATCATGGTCAGGTCAAATAGTTTCACTAAAGGCACTAGAAAATGATCCTTCTAGGACAACCTTCAAGGTACAGTATTCGTCCATGTCCTTGAAAAACTTTTCTAATGACCAGAAAATTACGTTCAGTACCAATATATCCTACTGTATTTCAATTTCACAAACATACGCATGATGTATATTTTATTAGCAAACATGCACCTATAGGCAGCATGGTGGTGCAGTGGTTAACACTGTTGCCTCATAACTCTGGGACCAGAGTTCAAGTCTCTGCCATGGCTCCATGTGAACTAAGTTTGCTCTGGCTACTCCAGTTTCCCCCCACAGCCCAAAAACATGTTGAGGTTAACTGGGATTACCAAACTGTGCATGTGTGAGGGTGCCCTGTTATGTTTTGGTGCCCCATCCTGGGTTGTCTCTGCTTTGCCCCCATTGCTTTTGGAATAGGCTCTGGACCATCCACAACCCTGAATAGGACAAGTGGTTACAGAAGATGGATGCATGGATGGATGGACGGACATACACCTGTAAAAATAATATGTAATGTGGTTAATATGAATAATAAAAAAACAGGTATGGTGGGAGGGCTAATGACTACTTTCTGTAAATGTGCATGTTCACAGCTTTCTAACTAATATCTGTGCATATGCATGTTTAATTCAATCAGTGTCACACTTTGCTTTTGACAAGGTAATATAAATTTATTTTGGCAGCTAGTAAACTGCATACTGCAAGTAACTATAGAAACAACCATACCATGACACAAGAGATCACACACTGTAACCAGCCTTCTGGTGAACATACTGACCACATTAACGATCTTCTTGCTCAGGTAACAGGGTTAAAAATACACTCACAATACTGTGATTTTTGCAAAATTTTTCTGTCAGTGTTTATATTCATACTATTTATATTATTAAGATATGATACCTTTAGATCAGGGGTGCCCTGCGATGGGCTGGCCCCCCGTCCAGGGTTGTTCCCTGCCTCGTGCCCGTTGCTTCCGGGATAGGCTCCGGACCCCCCGCGACCCAGTAGGATAAGCGGTTTGGACAATGGATGGATGGATAGATCAGGGGTAGCCAACTCCAGTCCTGGAGGGCCAGAGCCCTGCATATTTTTGGGTTTCCCCTCATTTAACACACCTGGTGCTAATTACCACACAGCTCTTGAGCTGAATCATTTATGGTGGAAGAGGGAAAGAACTAAGCTACACTGGGCTCTGGCCCTCCAGGACTGGAGTTGGGCACCCCTGCTTTAGATTGTGTCATGCAACTGCATAATCTGCTCTTTCATGTTTGTTCTTCTTCATTAATCCAGCAGGAGCCCCATGTACTCTTGTTGGAAAACTGAAAAGACTTAAATTACCTTGAAAATTAAAATGAAGGGGATACCATATTGTCTGTCTTCCTCCCTCATGTCTGCATTGGCCTTAACACCAATTTCTCCTGGGACTGGTTGACCCTGCTCTCACTTGGTTGTCACTTTGGGAAAAAAGCATCTACTAAATGAATAGATGTAAATATGAGTGAATATAAGCAATGGTACTAAATGTAACTCATGTATGAGGTACACTGTAATTTTTCTCCTGTCTATAAAACCAAGACAGCTTCATTGTCATGGAAATAAACAGATGTTTCCTTTCAAGTCCACTGTGTTTCAGTGAAAAAAAATGAGTTTATCAGATGAGCAGTCGTCTATTGACCCCACCCATTCAGACATAGAAGAAAGGGAATGTAGAAGTGATGTCACTTCCTGTCCAATGCACACTCTCCATGGCCTGCTCCACCTCCTACTCCATTTATAAACTAGGCATCCTGGTTATCTGGGATCTGAAGGCTGGTCCTTTCATTAAATAACTTTGCAACACTGTGAAAATTACCAGACAGGTAATGCTCATTTATTTTGTTAATTAGCCACTGGTTTTTATCAAAAGTAACTTAATTTTACTGATTTATTTGATACAATAGCAGATCCTCATGTAACCTCAGAGGGCTGTTCCTCATCAGTATATGTTTTGCTTGTTAGTCATAAAACTAGCCTCCGAAACTTCCCTTCCTGCCGTCAACAGACCTCTTCTAGACTGGCACTGCTATCTTTCTCAGCATTTTTACGTCATTCTAGACCACTGTTCCTAAAGTGGAGCATGTCCAGACGACTGGGACTCTGACTTTGACATTTCAGATTAGTCTCACGGCAATAGAGGAGTAACAACCCCACCCCCCCCAAGACTCTTTGCTCCTCTAGCTTGGAAATAGGTAGCCCCCTGTCACCTGGTTCTGAAGCAATAAAGGGTATAAATCCCTATTCTTACATGCCTCATAATTGCAACTTCAAAGCACATTCCTTCACCCTTCTTCTGTGTACAATTCTTTATTGTAGATTAAAATACTGAATCATACTCTGGCTTTTCTTTGGCACCAGGTCTTACCTAACGACGGAAAAGTACATTAACTGCCTTAAAATATATAACACTGAAAAGATGCTAGTCAAGCATAGAGTGTAATTTAGAAACAAAATAAATCAATGCATACAGAATACCTAAACTGACATTTTAAAATAACTGTTTAAAGCATATATGACGAAACTTTATTCACAGTGCTTGTCAGCTCAGGACAACATGGCTGTAATAAATCAGTTTATTAACAGAGGTACCTTTTCATGCCGATGCATGTCCTCGTACCTGATCGTGAACACGGGCAGGCGGGTACCTGTTTCAGCTGATTGAGCTCCTGTTTCATGCTTTCGTACTCCAGCTCCAGGTCGTCGTGGCGCCGTTGCAGCTCTTGCTTCTCCTCCAGTACGGCTAGCCCGTACTCTGCAGCCTGCATCTTTTCATGGGTAGTTTCGCTCAGTTCCCGGTACAGGCGCTCGATCTCTGCCCGGAGCCGCCGCGGATCGGCGTCCGTCAGCGTCACGCCAGACCACTCTGATTCGGACATATTGTGCCGACACGGATGAAGGGTTTAGGACAAGCGATAACAGATCGAGATCCCAGAGATGGGAAGCTATCTTTTGGAAGTTTTTATTTCAGTGACTGCGAAATTCCATGGCTGTGTTTTTATGACACGCTTCCAGGCACCGCTTTAAGTGACGTATTAAATTCTGGTTAACTTCGCCTGCGACCATCATACTTTTCTATTTTAAACTTCTTCCTTAACTGCGGTTTAATCTTTTCCCTGAGTAACCATCCGCCCATTAATGTCTATCGGGCTAGATGTTTTTTTTTGGCAGAAATGATTTTATTTAGGGTGGCTCCCAATTTTCGTACAGTGCATGCTGGGAAAGGAAGTACTGCAACTGTAAAAACAGTCTCGGAGCATGAGAAAATTAACTTCACACCCCGAAGTGCTTTGCGGATTTGTGCACATACGGGAGGCCGGCAGAGACGTCCTCTTCTTTGGTATGTATGTATGTATGTATGTATGTATGTATGTATGTATGTATGTATGTATGTATGTATAAATCAATAAATAAATAAATAAATAAATAGCATCTTGCGGTTAGTAGAAACTTGCTTATGCTGCTATGAAGTGACTTGGAATACTGGAATCTGAAGTTCTCAATGTATTTATTACAAAGCATAAGACATCACGACATTGATTTGATTTTTCGAATGAAGAAGATTTTAACCATGGTTATATTGTTTAAACTACAATACAATAAAACGAAATGTCAATATGAGACAATCATGCTTATTCGTTTATTGTTAAACGTTTACGTAATACAAGGAATCAAACGTTAAGACATTGATTACTTTTTTTTCCCTAAATAACAATGAAAATGTTCACATTTTAAGAAAACTTGGCGAAGTTCACCGTTTGTGAATTCGGATGATGTCACCCCACCCGGAAATCTGCCGATATTATTGAATTTATTTTATTTTTATATAGCGCCATTCATAACAGAATCGTCTACATAGATGTGTCGTGATACATAAAATATCATTAGAAAGAAATGCAGAACGAAAAAAATGAAGAAAAGAAATTAAATAAAGAAATATACTTTGGCAAACATACTTTGTCTTTTTATTTTCAAACGCGAATAATAAAAAAACTTCACCATATAAACAGGTCCAACCATGGCAGCTCATACTGATCAGTCTGATTTGTTAATTGTTTTCACAGTCCACAGTTCGGCTGCCAGTGACTGATACAGTATGTGCGTGAGGCAGAAGGGGTTAAAAACTGCCGTTTTGACACTGAAAGCCTATATCCAAAACTCACACTGTCAATCATATTAAAAGTGCATTTGTGTTAGACTCTGTAAAAGCATAAATAGTGGGTATTTCAGAATATTAATTTTGTACAAGTGTTTAAAAAATCTTTTCTTTTTGGGTAGTAAAAACATGCCAAATATTGTAATCTGAACAGGACCCAACAGGGGTAAGCAGCTGTAGTGCGTCTTGTGTAGCTGGTGTAAACCAATGCTACAGTACATAGTCTGTTTAACTTACAGTATAACACCCATAATTCACCACATGTAGCTAGTGTAAGCAAAATGACTGCGCTGTCAGCCGTATGATAGTACAATACCTTGACTACCTAACTTATAATACCAATAATACTTGATAGCACGTTTATGATTATATTTTAACGTGTATTTTCTCTCTTATTTAAAGTATCTTGACTTTTTAGGGAGTACAGGTGCAGTGTAGGTACGGTATAATTGCAGAATGCCATATAGGTATTTATACTGTGTTATAATGTTCGCATAGCGTCCAAGTCACCTAATGTCCTATTGGACAGAACATAACCTGGACTTGTGTAGTGCCAGATCTCCCAGTTAAGGATTGATTAAGGTTTGGGTCTTGACATACTCTACTTGAGGGAGAAGTTTTTATTTGTAATGTTTTTTTTTTGTTTTTTTTAATGGCCCCCAATCACATAGCAAGTGATTCTGGGCCAGATCCGCCTGCGTCTCCTTAAATTCGGGCACTGGTGGCATCCGGGCAGATCCAGACATCCACTAGAGCCAGACAGAGAGCCAGGGTGGACAGGACACAGGAACTTCATTTAGGAAAATGGAGGGAGGAAAGAAAGGGCAAAAACTGGAGCAAAACAAAGGCACTATAGAGCGTTGGAACATTAGGTGGGACTGGAGGATGTGGGGCATATCCTGAGAGCCCTCAGGGCCAAGGACAGCTGGACAAAGGGTGAGAGGTGGCAAATGCTGGCACAGTGGGGTAGCAGAGAGAGAACGCCCCGATGGGAAAGCAGGAATGGAGGATCTTGTCCCTTTGGACTACGCAGGAGGGCAACCCAAGAGGGCAGTTTTGGGTGGATGGGAGCCTAGGCAGCCATCTCTGGCCTTGTGTCTCTGCTTCCCTCTCTGGAAGACAATGATTTGGCTGACCCATCTCCTGTGTCCCTGCCAACACAGGTGGGAGCCCTGCGACCTGGAGCCCCACTCGAAGTCTTTTAGTGGGACATTCTCTGGGTCCATCCAAACAGGGTTTGTGGAAATGGCAGGAGTTGGTCAAGCAGTACCCGGGGAGTCAGGAGCCGGCCAGGCAGCAGCTGGGGAGTTGGGAGCTGATGACCTCTGGCAGGCTTAACAGGTGTGAACAGTGCCAATGATGGTGCTGTTGAGGCACCAATAGGCACAGAGGGTCCCAATGAGGCCAGAACCGATAAGGAGGGTGCCATTGAGGTACCAACAGGCATGGAGGGGGCTGACAGGATGGCAGGAGATGAGGTAGGAGGTGACCGAACCAAAGGTACAGAATGCTCCAACAAACTTCCAGGTGAGCAGGACACAGCCAGGGTACCTGTAAGCGAGCAGGGCACAACTGGGGCACCTGGAGGTGAGCAGGGCACAACTGGGGCACCTGGTGCCACCAATGAGACTACTTGGGTTTTCTGTGGGGCAGCAGGTGAGACACAGCAACCCAAAAAGTTTGTGTCTTAGTCAGAGGCATGGTTTCACCTGGGTCAGAACGACATCTCTCAGGTCAGGTTTGGGTGGCACAGCTGCTGTGGGACCAGGTGTGGGAAGTGTGGCCCCTCTTGAGCCAGGAGCCTGGGGACACTTTAAGATGTTGCACTTATCACAACACACCCATGTAAAGCGTCTTGGGGCGAGTCTATTGTGAAAGGTGCTACATAAAAACAGCATGGGTGGCAGCCTCCCTTGGGCAAGGTTCTGGAGGCTCGGGCACTTCTTGTAGAGGAAAACATAGAAGAACAATCAGCTATTACAATGCATTTAGTCAAACAGGTTATATCAGTAATTATGTTTATTTTATTTAGTTTCATTTTATTTTAATCACACTATACATTCCTGGACAAACATTGTTGAACACAGTGTATTAGTGGTTCAGTGTAATAGATGGGTGCACATGACACCATGTGTGATACCACCATGATAATTTCTTGCTTACGTGGCCATGGGTTCGTATTCCAAAGACAATGCATTTCTTTTTAAAAATGGCAATGAAAGCTCTGTGATTGAATTATTGTGACAAGAATGAATTATTTCTAGCCATTAATTTCAGGTCAGTCAGGTCAGGTTGGGAAGCATGCATTGGCAATTCAATTCAATTTTTTTTTGTATAGCACATTTTCACAACAGTAGTGTCACACCGAGCTGACGAGGGAGACACAAATCCAGAAGTACGGGGAAAGCCGGGTTTTAATAAGGCAAAGAGCAAGCAGTTACAGGCAAGAGTCCCCTCCACACAGGTAATGCAGGAGAGCACTGCAGCCCGAGTAACCGGGGAGGTGGTGCAGGGCAGAGGCACCCTCCTTGTGGTGGTGATCTGGCAACCAGGTCCAAATGGGGTGAGCAGTAATCGTGGTCGAGAGACGAGAGCGTTGGTCGAAAGCCGATGAGTCCGTCCGACGGATACACACAGGACTGGGTAACAGGAGGGCTGGACGACGAGGGAAGCCGGGCTCAGCAGGACTGGAGAATCAAGGACGGGAGTGGGACTAAGGAGGTAAGGGATAAGAGGTAAGGGTTTCACAAAAGGTAAACAGGCAAGGAACGGGAGCAGACGAGAACGGCAGACAGAAGAATGCTCGGTAAGGCTAGTCATTAGCGCAATACTTCGCAGTTTGACTGTGATCTTCTCCCTCCTTAAATAAGGGAGGCAATTAGTCCCTAATGCCCGACACCTGGTTGACCCGCCTCCGTGGGCGTGACAAGTAGGCACAGCCTCACGAAAGTTGGACATGACAATAAAAGTGATTTGATTTGATTTTGATCATGCAGCTCCTGGTGCTGATTCTGATGACAGGATGAACAGTTGTACAGTATAGCAGGAGGGCAGGCAGGAGAGACATCACAAGAGACTGAATCTCGCACATCCACTGGGATCCACTGCAGAGCTCTTTAAGCGTAAGAGACAAATTTAACAAGTTTATCAAAGTAGTGCTAATTAGTGGTACAATCTCATTAAGAAGTTTAGTATGAATTGGGTCTACAAGGCTAGAAGAAGATTTACAGGAGGAAATAAAGTTGAAAAATTCTGATTGTTTTACAGGAAAGAAAGATTCAAAGGTATCATTATCAGTCCTAATATGACTAGGAGAAGACTGATAGCTGTATGTCGCTACACACATGCTCCAGGTGGTATATCTAATCTTAATTATTTTACCATTAAAAATGTAGTCATCATTCCTAAGAGCTTCTGGGACTTGTGAGTTTAACATTGAAGAAGTTTTTGTTAACTTAGACACAGATTCAAACAGGAATTTAGGATTGTTTTTTGTATTCTTCTATTAGTCTGGAGAGATACAGAGACGTAGCAGTCACTAGTGCTTGTCTATACTCAGAGAGACTCTCTTTTCAGGCGGATCTGAAAACTTCTAGTTTACAGTAGTTGAGCGCCATATATACATATATGATCAGAGTACCAGGGGGCAGGTTTCTTATCCTTATGCTTTATCTTCTTAAGTTGAGGTATAAGATCAAGAGTGCTGTGAAATGATTTATCAGTGTTTACAGTTACTTGTTCAAGTGCATTTTCAGTGTAAGGTTGAAGGATTGTGAAAATTGGTCAAGAAACTATGAAACGACTGTACTGTATTTCGGAGCTGGGGCCAAAGGAGCCTGTATTGTATTTCAGACATTAACAAGTAATGATCTGAATGTAGAGGATTCTGTGGGGTAATAGATACATGTTCCACCAGGACACCATGGCTAAGAATCAAATCCAGGGAGTGGTTACAGGCATGAGTAGGCCCGACTACATTCTGACGCACACCATCAGAGTCAAGAATAGCAGCAAATGTTGTGGTTAAAGGATCACTGTCATTCTCCATCTGAATATTAAAATCACCAGCAATCACAGCTTTGTCAGTAGTGACATATATATATATATATATATATATATATGCAAACATTTATAAACATTTTTTGCAGACCTTCTGAGATTGGACTGAGATATTGCAGCAACACCATTCTACTGTAGATCCAGGACTAGCAGAATGAGTGATAGTGTGCCATTAATGCAAGTACCAAAATTCACCTCTAAAAGATTGATGCAGAAAATGACAATGACTAATCTAGGGGACTGAACACAAGCGGGTACTAATATACAGGGATTGTCGAAGACCAAATGAGAGGCATGTATGAACGAGACCCAAGAGGGAGGAGATGAGATCACCACCAGCGACCTCTGTTGGCCAAATGGGAAGAAAGCAGTAACAGAAAGTAACAATGGTCCTTGGTGTGAACAATAACTGAAGCTCCTGACCTGTACCTGCTGATATTTGATTGGCAAATTAGATATTTGCCTCAATGAGCAGTGTTGAATGGGTAAAATAGCCAATGTGTTTGTATGTTTACATATATACGTATATGTGTGTACTGTATGTGTGTTTAAATGTAGCATTGCAGTCATGATCAGCCATGCAATCAGTAAATCACCCATATGACAGGAAGGTACAGATGAGATGTTTTTGCTCAATGCAGCAGTCCTAATGCATGTTCTTCAACACCTCCCTGGGTGTGAGCCTCCCCAAGTCCTACAATCTGGGCATCTCCAATCCATAGGTCTTTCTGGAAAACACTTACAGCTAATCAAAGAAAACTGCACCATACTGGCTACAAGCAGAAAACCCCTTGTCACATTGAATGCGAAGTCAGTTCTAATTGCCTTTTAATTTATTTCTGAGGTTTTTGAGTTCATTAAAACTCTCCATTGCACAATTAATGAGACACTACATAAGAACAGGGTGCAGACTCAGTTCTAGGGGTCTGAACCAGGTCAAAACATAATGTCTCAAGGACAGTCACATATCTATTCATTTTCAATTCAGTTCAATTTTATTTATATAGCGCTTTTAACAACAGTCATTGTCACAAAGCACTTTACATATAACCGGCCCGAACCCTCACCATGTAAGCCTGAGGCGACAGTGGCAAGGAAAAACTCCCTCTAGCAGGAAGAAACCATGAGAGGAGCCTTGACTCGGAAGAGGACCCCATCCTCCTCATGGTGACCGGATTGCAAGAAAATGTATTCACATTAACATTAGTGCAAGATTAATGATTATCATTTTAAAGAAGTGATTACTTGCTGGTTTATATTTTTTTTGCCAGGGCTTGGCATAACAACACTTTTTCCCTGCTACATGACAAATAATCAATAGAATTGTGTCCATTTGTTGGAATTAGCCAGACTATTCATTAATCTTCATAGAGCATATGGGTCTCTTTACAAACCCTGCCTGCAGCAGTTGGAAGTATCCTTTGTGTTTTTGAATGGCACTTCCATGTTAGGTCCTTATTTACTTCTGCTAATGGTTTCATGATGCCGAATTTATCCTTTATAAAGTTTGGGGGACTTGAATCTATGTAAATAAATTTAGTGACGAAAGCCTCTGATGCAAATGAACACACTGAATTACACTTATTGAATAAAAACTCATTGCATTAATGATGCTTTGAATTTTTGGGGATTGTAATTTAAACATTGCATATATCAGCTGAAAACATTTGAATTGTAATTTCATTGCTATAATATTCAATACAAGAAATATCCTGACCAGTAAACGACAAGAAACATAAATGGCACAATCAAAGAAAATCTACTGCCAAGTCAGTCAGTGCTTGTACTCACTGCTTGCTCCATTTTGACCTAAGTTCCAGAAGAGAACTCTATTGGCAATCTATCACTGATCCAGCTAGTCCCGGATGTACAGTAGAAGGTTAAATTTCAGACTGTATTTGAATGGTGCATCTGAATTTCTTTGACTAATTCAACAAAACCTGACAGATAGGGAGATGTGCATTGTGACTATTCAGCAAGAGCAAAGATGATATGATTATATCACCAGAACAGATCGCAAATTTCATGGATATGAATTTATCTGTTCCAAACATTAATTCTAGGAGTATGCCCATGCAGAGTATGCAGACAAATGGCAGAATGCAATCTCTCAGTCAGAGCATGATATAGCAGTTTTACTGATGAAGAGTTAGATGCTTGTGTGACAGGTATTAAGCAACACATGCCACATTGTGGATACAGAATGGTGAGAGCAGCATTACAGGCCCATGGACATCACATGCAGTTTGAACGCATTAGAGCATACATGCACCTTATGGAGGCCGCTGGAGTGATATCTTAAACGACGCAACTTGGCTGTGTTGTTTGAAGGACATATTCTGTCTCCAGTCCTAGAGCATTGATGCACATCGATACCAATCATCCAATAATTTAGTACATTTTGTTAGGATGGCCCTTAATTATTTTATTTTGCAAGCCTTGTTCTAAGATTTGTATGTGTTTCACCTGTTTTTTTTTCGTTATGATGTTTCAGATAACTCCAGGACAGCAGGATTGTAATTACATACAAAAATATTTAAATTTTTATCTACATCTTCAGTTCAATATAAAGAAATTACATAATGAACAACTCTTTAAGAAACATGATATTATGAGCAAGTAGCGGGGTAACACTTTCTTGCCAACAGAAGCAACACCAGCACCAGCCTGCCATCACTTGCCTGCCCCCTGCTTTGAAACTCAAATGTTAAAATTTGGACAGTGTGCATGAGAACTTTGCCATCTTGTTCATTTGACGTCCTCTGCCGGCCCCTGGAGGATGCCCCCACCCACCTCTGTGTCTGGTTCCTCCCAAGGATACTTCCTTCTAGGGAGTTTTTCCTTGCCACTATCACCTCTGGCTTGCTCACTGGGGGGGTTTGGGTAGGGATAATGTAAAGCACTTTGAGACAATGTAATGTTGTGAAAATGCACCATACAAATAAAATTGAAATGAATTAAATTGAATTAAGCAAATGAAATCTTAACATTTTAAACTAAATCTGAAAGTTTTATCGTATTCCTCAAATCAGATTGCCTCTGCAATTTCATTATATTTAACTTTTCTGCCTTAAATGTTGTGTGCTTTATTTTTTGTGTTACGGAGCCTCCACCTTACCACCTTACTTTGCTTATAATGGGTTTGTGTTGTTTTTCAGCATTTTGTTTTCCCAGTATATTCTTTAGTGGAATTTGAGATCCAGTTCCTCCATTGGCGATATGGTGAGGCAAAAAAATAATTTATAAGAGCTCATGAAGGTTTGAAGGTTTAAACTGAATATATTAATGAGTAGATGCACAAAATGTTTCAATAAAGAACTACGATCATGATAAGCTGTTTTCAGGTGAAATCTATGAGAAAATGGTGTTATATCTGTGAACAGGCATGAAATGATTCAAAAATTGAATTAGTTGACAAATAAAAATAAAAACACAGAACCAACCCCCAGCAACAGTGTTAAGGCTTTTAACTACAATCATGAAACATAGAGTGTTTCCTATTTGGTTTTATTATGAGGATTGTGTGGATATGCAGTGTCACATGGCCAGTCTCTGTACAATGCTGTATTGGGTACCCAGGCAGCGTTTAAACCACAACAACATTTGTAGTGCTGTAAATATAAATATTAAAATATGTATTAAAATATGATAGAACCAGGGGCATCATTAGGCCTGAAGCCCCCCTAAAATGTTTTTTAACCCACTTAAACAAATGTGTATTTATTGGCTTAAGTCATGAATAGCTTTTTATATTATATAAGTTTGCTATCTGCCCGCTCCTAGCCTATTCCTTGTCACTGTCGCCTTTAGCCTAGACTAAAGACTAAGCCACCCTATCCATTCATCCCTAAATACATCCCTGGATCAAACCAGTGGTGTTTTCTGTTGTTTCTGAGTGTGTGGATACCCAGTTGCAATCCTATATATAAAGCAAAATAGTTTATTATTAATGTTACTACACCTATATATTAATTAACAAGCATACAAATGAGTTTTATGCCCCTATACTAAAGTACGAGCAAAAATTACACAATAAATACCTTTAATTTAAATACCTTAAATTGATAAATACATTTGTAGTACTTTTTAATACACAGACTATATCAAAGTATATCAGCATATAACTTCAGCTTTTTAAATATTTTACCATTATAGTTTAATTTGTTCCAACAGAGAAATGTCCCCTGCTTTTCTGAGCAATTTCCTCTGGGATTAATAAAGTCTTCTGATTCTGATTCTTAATACGAAGTTCTAAATGTTATGTGTTATTTTCCTTTTCCACATATCTTGTGTGCACTAAGGAGTCTACCTTAACTTTTAAAGTTCAGACATAAGAACAGGAAATGACATACCGGACGTCTTATTGTTGCTAGAATAACGAAACTCATCGTAACTACCAAGCTGGTTAGCTTGCAAGCTAGCTGACCCTGTAGTTGCTTGCATGCAGCTTATGATAGCAAGATTATTTTGGTGATATTTAATGCAGCTATCAAATTACTTACATAACAATCTATCAGATGGAGTCACAAGGTATCTTATTGACCAGTAAATGACAAGAAACATGAATGATACAATCAAAGAAAATGTATTGCCAAGTCAATCAGTGCTTGTACTTACAGTACTGCTTGCTCTCTTTTGACCACGGTTCCAGAGGAGAACTCTATCAGCACTCTATCCTGCTAGTCCCAGATGTAGGAGGTTGAATTTTGGACCGTATTTTAAACAACTGAAATTGTGGCAACATATTAAAAAAAGTGAAAATTAGAGGACTGAATATTACCGCTTGAATAATAAAGATGCGGATAAAACACATCAAATATTTTCAGCTGAATGTGCTCTTTTGAAATTTATTTTGTGGTGAAAATAAATTAACTGAATTCATGTGGATCAATTATAAAGATGCACTTTAAAAACTGTATGTTTTGGAACTGAATTCTGGAAGCCGAATGTTTTTGTATTGAATATT